CAAAGGCTCCTTGCGGGGTCTTTCAAGCAAACCACCAAATCATCCACTGCCTTGTGGGTCAGGCTATTGAGCCAAAGGCTCCGGGCGGAGTCTCTCAAGCAAACCTCCGAAGCACATCCACCATCTCACGTGGGATTGCCCACCAATGCAATCGTATGCCTGCGCGCAAAACACTCAGCATCGGATACTGGAACTTGCGCACACCACTGGACCGGAACTCCAGTGAGCGCCCGGAGCGACGCCCTGCACTCGTCGCGATGGAACTGGCGCGCTACCACATCGATATTGTGGCGCTCAGTGAAACCCGGCGCGCTGAGCAAACTAAGTTGCATGAGGCAGGTGCTGGCTACACATTCTGTTGGGTGAGCAACGTCGCCTCAGCACCACGTGATCATGAGGTCGGATTTGCAATATCCGATCGCATATATGGCCAGCTGGTGGGTGAACCAACAGGCATCAGCGCGCGACTGATGACTATTTGCCTACGACTCGGAAGAGGTAAGTTTGCCACCTTTATAAGCACGTACGGTCCGACATGTGTTATCCTGATGACACGCGTGATCAGTTCTACACTGAGCTATCCTCCGTGATACGGTCTGTGCCGAGGAGCGACCGACTATTTCTGCTGGGTGATTTCAACGCGCGCGTTGGGCGTGATGCATCAGCGTGGACAGATGTTATCCGTCCGCATGGCATTTGTTCAACGAATGTGAACGGTGACAGGCTGCTCTCACTGTGTGCCACTCACGACCTGACGATCACGAACACTCGGTTTGCACTGCGCGCGAGTGATATGGCAACTTGGACGCACCCGCGGAGTGGTCACGCTTACCTGCTCGACTATGTCATCGTACGTCAGCGTGATATGCGTGAAGCGCGCATGACACGTACTGAGTGCATCTGAGTGTGGCACTGATCACAAATTGTTGCGGACCAAACTGTACCTATATTTTCGTAAATCTGTGTATTGCACTTCCGCCGTGAATCGGCATAACTTTAACATTCTGTCCCTCGGTACTGTGGCGAAACGTATTGAGTTGGAGAGGGCGATGGCTGCACGCCTGTGTGATGTGGACTGCATGGACACAGTGGGCGACCTGTGGCACCACATTCGCGACCAGGTGACAGCTGCTGCGGAGGAGACCATCGGGCGCGCAAACTGTAAGCGGCCTGATTGGTTTGATGAGAACAATGCGACGATTGGCGCATTGGTGTCGGAGAAGAATGCAGCATTTGCTGCACAGGTGGCAGACCCCAGTGACTTGGGGAAGAATAGTCAGTTTCGCAAACTTCGACGGCGACTGACCCGAGAGCTCCGTCGCATAAATATGCATGGTGAACGGAGAAAGCGAAGCAGATGGAATGCTACTCCGACCATCATCAACACAAGGAATTCTTTGACTCCTTGAAGGCGGTGTATGGACCGAGATTAAAGCCGCTGAGGTTGCTGATCGATGGTAGTTCAGGCGCTACCTACACACAGACTACAGATAATGTAGATCTGGTGGAAACACTTTGACTGTCACTTGAACAACCGTTCAGAGATCGGCTGGCCTACTTTGAACGGCCTGAAGCAGCATGATGTGAAGGCGAGTCTGGCAGACACGCCGATCCTGGATGAGACGCAGAGAGCACTTGGTCAGCTGCGAAACGGTAAGTGTGTTGGTGGTCATGGGATTCCGCCTGAAGTATTGAAACACGGCGGACCTGCGTTGGTGACTGTGCTGCACCACTTGGTGCAACACGTGTGGATTGAGGAGGAGGTGCCTCCTGAGCTGAAAGATGCGCTTGTGCTACCACTGTACAAAAGCAAAGTGAGCAAGCAATGTGCCACGAATTATCGTGGCATCAGCTTACTGATTTGTGTGGGTAAGGTGATTGCCCGAATGGTGCTCAACCGCCTCGTCAGTCAGGTTGTGGCACCGAATGTGGCGGAAGAGCAATGTGGATTCCGTTTGGGTCATAGCACTATAGATATGGTGGTTGCCGCTGGTCATTTACAGGAAAGGTGCAGAGCATGACACCAGCCGTTGTACTCGCTTTTTGTTGATTTCACCAATGCATTTGTTACGGTGAACCGCGAAGCATTGTGGCTGATGTTTGGTAAGTTTAGTTGTCCGAGTAAATTTGTAAGATTGATAGAATGTCTGCACAGAGATATGCAGGGAATGATGCAACTGAGTGGAGAGACCTCGGATGTCTTTGCAATTATCTCTGGAGTGAAACAAGGCTGTGTCTTGGCTCCTGCTCTGTTTAATATTTCTCTTCATATGCTGGTATCTTGTGATTTTGATGCGGCTTGTGCTTACGGTGTTCGTGTGGAGCACCGTATTGATGTTGGGTTGCTGAACATCCGTCGTTTCGGTGCGAGAACTCTAGTCTGTGAGCCAACTATCCGTATGTTACTGTTTGCTGACGACTGTGCGTTGTTTGCACACAGCGCGGATGAGTTGCAGCACATGGCGAGTGCTCTGACCTAGACAGCGGCCAAATTCGGGCTTACCATGAGCACAAGCAAAACTGTCTGCCTCTTTCAGCCTTCACCGGAGTTACAATCTTCAATATTTCTGCGAATCAGCATTGGTGCTGAAGTATTGGAAACCGCCTCCCGCTTCTGCTACCTTTGGTGTGTGATGTCGACTGACCAGCAGCTACACAGTGAACTGCGTATCCGCATATCGAAGGCAGCGGCGGCAATCGGGAAGCATGAGCATTCTAGTTATCTATTGAAGGGGAGGACTTATGGAATTTGAGCCGACAATCTGAAGGTCGATCGATCGCTGCAAACCCAGCTGAAGGATAGTACGCAATCGACTTAGATCGACATGAACGGAGCTCAGACGCTGGCCGAGAAAACATTAGCAAGTGGATAATCGCTACAATTGTGGTTGGATCTAAATGATGCGAGCTATAAAATGCGCTTGTGTTCTATGAATAAAAGGTTTCTGATCGTAGCCCATTCTTGGGTTTTTGATTCTCAGAGATCCACGCGGTAAGTGAGATGGTTAGAACTGCTAGTTTTCTGATCCAAAGTAGGGCTATGTCACAGCTAGTGTGGCTGTGCGGAGGGGAAGCGTATTCGTCACCCAATAAACACCGAGTGTCATTCATTTTGGTTACGGGGACTCATGAGTCACTTTTGAGCCTGGTTAGAGCACCATTAATTACTGCCCAAATTCGCGGGACTATACTCAGCAAAACAGCCCTTTTATGCTGATGTAGACTGACCCCCGTCTTCAAGCCGATACTCCTGTGGCTAGCACAATCGGTGCGGTTGCACTTCTTGCATATTAACCTTGTGATCTATCCACCTCAGTTGACTACGGAAGTTTTTCCCATCCATGTCCGAACACGGTGGATCAGTGGTCGGCCAGCACGAGCGAATCCAAACCGGGGACATGAAAACTATTGAGGGCTGTGATTTTTCTTGACTTTAGCTTTAATTTCAAACATAAAATTCAGAAGACGTATATTGTGAGATGACGTCGTCATTTCGTGCATTCTTATCAATCACAAAAACATGCGACGTTGGAACATAAACAAAATTCAGCTTCAGATGGAACCTTTAAACTAACCGGCAATAGTTCGTCCTGCACAATCCGAACAGGAAGAGATTAAAGAGCAGGTGGCCAACGGGACTGCTCTCCAAAGTGCTCTACCCAAAGAGAAGGACGGCGGCACTGTCTCTAATTGTCTCGTTGACTTATAACTTCCCTGGACCATTTGTGTGGATCAATTGGAATAGTCTGCAATAATTGCTTACTGCTCTTATCTCTATTCCTTAAGCCCTCTGAGTCCTTGTCAACATAGGAACACCGTGTTAATTCGCACTTAACGGTTTGTCTGACCACATTGTGCTCGATGACAACGTGACTTTTCTTATACATTGCAACAGACTCACTGATTTCTCTGATGTCCATTAACCGATGCGATGCCTACTACTAGTACCGCAAACAGAGGTTCCAGCATTGTGGTGGAGATATTGTTCTGCCGAAACCCGGTGTCCTTAGGCTGAGGGTAAAATTTCGTTAAGCAGGGCACCCTAGTACTTTCTGTTGACTGAGAGCTGTGATCGCTTCTCAGGCGTCTATTGAGGAAAACATTGGATACCTTTTCCGGAAAAGTTCGTTGGAAATCGACATGATCAGAGTCGACACAAGTGTTCTAGACTTGGCAGCGGTCCATTATGGAAGCGCGCCACCTTGGGCCAATGTCTTTGTGATCTTTGGGCAGCTGCCGAAAGATGCCAAGCAGTACCTCGGTGGCCACTGTGCCTGAAGACCTTGGTACTAACAGACAGCCGATGGTCGGCATACAGTTGCAATAAATTCTCGCCATTTTCCTTACATTTGATAATCTACGTTTTCTCCTGATTTAGCTACTGTGGAGCTCAGAAATCTGCTTGCGATTTCATATTCGCTGCAAATATAACAGCGTATTAAGTAATGTGCATTGCGGAATAGCGTATTAAGTTCGCGGTAGAAAGTGTCCTTGGCATCATCAGAAATGCAGTCCGTTAGGGCCCAGTCAGCACCGACAAACAAGAAATATCTAGTACTTCCGTGTGCTGACCATACTCAATATTACCAAAGGCCGTTCCCGGGATTTTAATCAACACTTTGCTTCCTGGTAATCAGGTTTAATGAAGGGACATCCTAAAAGCAATATTATGCTTGTCAAAGCATTGCTACTGGTAGAATCTTCCCCCCTTGTCCTCGCATGGCTTCCCCGTAGAAATCTTCTTTCCGGTTGACCTGCAGTCGAGTGCTCCAGATATTTTGCACTCACCGATCCATATTCACTGCATCTCCCTCCACTTATTTCTATCGAAAAATTTCCTGGTTGGTTCGGTGTTCTTACTTTGTAGCTTTTTCTAGTACACTTTTCCGCCCTTCCAAATGCTTTGTCGTCGTCTGGCCTGTCCGACGCTTTGATCAGCTTCATCCAACCCTGACTGATGTCTGGCTTATGCTTTTTTCATGGTTTATTTCAGCTTAATTATGCTTTCTAAAGTGGGCCAACTCGCACTGTCCCGCACCGCCTTACTGCTCTGCGACATACAAGAAAAGTTTCGTCCTCACATATCTCACTTCCCTGCCATTGTCGAGGTGTCACGCCGGATGTTGCAAGCTGCTCGGCTCCTGGGAATACGGACGGTTGTCACTGAAATGTACCCTAAAGGTATGCGATAATTGCTAATCTTCCAGTGTTTTTCTCTTACACACGTTATTACTTTATTCTTATGATATCTGTACGTCACAGTCGTAGTCTGATGAACCAATACTAGCTATCAGAGGGCAGTTAATGATCACTTTTTACTTCTATCGGAGTTCTCAGAATTGCGCGTCGCGTCCACATTTCAAGACACGGCTTCTTCTATTGCTTTTCTACTTGAGGCCACAACTGATGATATTGAGTTACCCTCCACTGTCATGCATGCTCCCAATCTCGCCTGACATATTTACTCCTCACACGTTTCACGACGCAGTGGTTGTAGTTCCCACTTTGAAACTCTGCTTCGGCCACATCCCGAAGGAGCCGATGAAACGACTGTCTGTTGTCCAACTGTTTGGGCGCTGATCAACTAAGCTTAGTAAGGATGAATTTTAATTGTAGTGGCTAACTTCATCCACTAACTATTTTCGAGCACGTGTGGTGTACCACGGTGCGTGGATTATATTCAAACGGGTTGAACTTAAGCGCTTTGTCCGAGACATCACTTGAAGCATTTTTAGGCTGAAGCCGCCTGATTGTTCCGTGCTCGTGCACACTGGTCAGTGATCTCAGGGGTCAATACGCACTTTAGCACTCTCGTTCGCGTTTCCATCACCTTTTTTCTTTTCACATTATGCAACACTTTTTTCGGGCAATTCAGTCTGGTTTCTTCTCTTTTGGGAAATCCGTAGTTTCCTCTTTAAATTTTACTCGTTAGCATATATCAAAGGGCATAATCTTAACACATCTTAGTGGACAGTTTTGGCTGGCGGTGGAATTTTCCCCACCATTCATTACTTGAGCGCACTGGGTATGAATTGTTGAGAACGCTCGTAGTTCGACGGGTGGACAAGTGCACTCTCTCATCCACATCCTAGACCCCAAGTATTCTCAATAATTACCAACATCTGCCGATTGTCTGCATTGCATTTTTCGTTGTATACACTTGTTCGATGGATTGATCGAAAATTTACTCGACTTTTCTTTTCAGATCGGCGTTCGGTTTCACATGGGTACTCCATAAGAATCTCACTTGACGATTTTGTTTCTGAGCCCTTTTGTTTCACTGGCGATCAGGGCAATTCATCTATGCGCTTCTCCACCTAAGTATTTGGATTAGAGTTGTTTAACCGAAACAAGCGTTTCGATGTCCCCACTTTAAACCCGAGATATATGTCTGTAAAGAAAGAAGAAGAGGCGTCAGCAGTACGCCCTACCGACGTTTCGCTACCACACAACCACCGCCTGTCACGCGAGAGCCACCCGGCCCCGTACGCAGGCTCGAACTCGCGACCTCCGGATTGCGAGACAGATGCCTAGTCCTTTCGGCCACGGGTTGGAAGGTTGGAACGCCATGTGAACCGCCTTAACTACAACAAACTGTCAATTGAGAGAACAAAAACAATGTGTTGCAGGGCCTGAAGAAAGCTGGGTCGTTTGTTGTGGGTCCCATTTTCGGAATACATCTTTCTTTCTCATATCAGCAAATTGCTTTGCGCTCAATCATTATTGTTTCACAGACTTCTTCGAAGCATTTAAGATGTTTTATGTGAACACTTCAACAACAGCATCCTGTCTTCTTGAGTGGGCTGAAGTTACGGAAGTTTGATGTTTTGCCGCTCCTCCATCCATGGCTTTTATTTTTCACATGCCGAAGGATGACTTCTTTCGTCTGCTTTCATATGCTCTGTGAGAGTGTCGAAAATCGAGAACCAACACGTTGGTCTTGTGCGGATGACGTTCGGGTGCTTCAGTCTTTCCAGTTTCCCACAAATGCTTAGCGCATACGTGTAGAGTACGCAATGCTGTCGAACGCACTGGTTACACTAGACACTCCGCAGCAAAGGGCAACCGAATGTGTGATGGGCTTGTTCCATCTGTCATAGCAACTGCGACTCATCATTATACATGTCAGCTAGAGGAGGTGGTGAAACACCGCTATTGTACCGCAATACATAAAGGAAATACATACATACATACAATACATAAAGGAAAAATAAATACGACAGTTGCATGCCAGCTGAGCTACCAGCAACGGATAGGCCTCGTTCCGGTAAGCTACCAGCCAGCTACTAGGCAAAAAGAAGAAAAAATATGTTTTACCCTACGAACTGAGATCGTAGATGGAGGGGGGAGGCTAAAAGGGATAGGGAGGGACAAAGAAACTCACAGCGGGAACGCCACTGAGGTCGGCTCCTTGCCATGTCAGCAAGTGTATCCAGCCAAACGTGTTCATCGCCTTTTGGACCCCAACCAGGGAGCCGTGAAGCTCCAACCGAGGCTAGCTCCGAAGTGAGGGACTTCATTCCCCTGGACCAAGTCATCGCTTGGCCACCCCTCCTCTTCTTCCACCCACATCCCCGGTGAGCAAACAACGCACGTCGAGGGAGTCGGTGGGCTGGCATGCGCAACACGTGGCCAAGCCATCGGAGTCTGGTGCGAGAAATAACGGTGCTGAGCGGTTCATTCCCTTTTTTGGGCCGTAAACAAGGCGTCGAACACGCTCGTTACTCACGCGGTGTTCCCACCAGGTGTGAGCCAAACTGCGAAGACACCGATGGTCGAACGTAACTAGCCTCTTTATGTCCACCGATGTTAGGGGCCATCGAAGTGTAAAGTGGGAGTTATCTTCGTCTACGTGGTGACCTCTTCCTAACCTATGACGCTTAGAAAAAGCCTTGCTCAGACCATTCACTTGAGCTGTGCCTTGCACCGTCGAGGAGTATACCATTTATTTACTCATTTAGTCACGTTTGCTGCCACCTCGGGAAGTACAAATAGCCCCAAACTAAGGGGTCATCAGCTAAAGTTGGCCGCGCATTACAGCCGGTTGTAATGTCGCCGGATTTCCCCCCCCCCCTCCGTACTTCTCAGCCGGAGGACGCACCTCCAGCTTACATCATTTCTGCGCCTATGTTATCGTCTTTTGAGCGGTGACTCAACGGTACATTGCACCACTTGAGTTGCATGAAATGACCCACGTTCATTGGGTGACGACAAAACGCACTGTGTTCGCAAGCCTCCCCCACTCCCATGAAATCGCGGTAGGCGGACTGACATGTGTGCTGATACGAATAGTACAGTGAGTCCACGGATGCGCGGTTTACCTTGTGGGCTAAGTTTCTTATTCAGAACCTATATAATTAACACAGACTATTCTACGGGATATACCAAACCTAAGCTATTTTTACTCGTATTATACCGTTTTCCCTATTGTTGCATCGCTGGCCGCATCACCAGCGAACACATGACCGAGACGTTGCAGACTTGTTATGATCGTCTCTGAGCTTCAGCGAGCATGATCACTAAAGTGGTGTCACCTGGAGCCTCATGGCAACGTAATGTTCATTGGTCTATTTCGTTCTGACACTCTCTTTATTATGTCACTCAAATTCACTAATCTGTCGTACATTCATACACCCTATTCTCTCAGCCGTCTCACTTTGCAAACTGGAAGCGCATGCTCCTATTTTCACAATCTTGCTTTACATGGGTCCCCAAAATCAGTGGTCCCTTTTTAACCTGAGTGCAAGCGTGTGAAAACAGCTACTTCAGAGGATTCCGTTAGTTGGTGGCTCTCCTTATCAGACTTCTCTACAGTTGATTGAAACTTTGCGGGTATTGCATTCGCTTCCAAACTTTATCAGTAATTTTAATTAGTGGCCCTATTCTATTCGTGTCAAACTAGTCATCCGAGTTACCACTTCTATTCACCCAGGCAACCAGACTCTTACGACCGTCTGCGATATTTCTTTGGAACTTTTCCTCACCCAAGCCGTCATCTATGACATGGCTCCATATTTTTAGAGTCGTGAAAGTTGGTCCCAATCTGAAATCATTACCATACTAACCGGTCACTTATACCTTGTTCTCTCTTTTTTTGTCACGTTCCATTTGAAGTTCGTTTTCTCTACTGTTTCACCCAACTCATATTGACTTGGACGTCCGATGATTTCTTATCGCTTTTCTCCGCCGTAGACCATGGTTGTTCCGCGTTCATCGTGCGCTAGCATTTTTCACACCTGTGATTGGTGTTCTTTAATTATTTTTCTTACTTTTAGGTTTGGGCAAAACGGTTCCAGAATTGGGTGATTTGAGTGGTATCCCGGTGATTCCGAAGACCGCATTCAGCATGTACACCAGTGAAGTGGCCGACTTGTTGGAGTTGGGCAAACAGATAGACTCAGTGCTCTTGTGCGGCATTGAGGCGCACGTTTGTGTTCACGCAACCGCATTAGATCTGAAAGAGCGAGGCGCAGATGTGCATTGCGTGGTCGACGCCTGTTCCTCCCGAAATATGGTGGACCGGTCAGTTTTATCATTCTTCATTCATTGTATATTTATCGTCATCAGCTTGCCTTTTGTCTTATCTTCCGGGCATACTGAAGCGTAACAAAGTCACACGCCAGTATGCTATTGTTTTGGACACGCACCCCAATCATCCACAAATTCCCTGCCACTCCTTAGTCTGAGAAAAAGTGCCACAAATTCGGGCCGCATGCTGAGTTATGGACACTGGCAACTTGTCAGCGCATTGTCGAGTTGCTAATTTTTTAGTATAAACTCATTATTTTGTTCCTTAAAACACCGTTGTCGAATTTCGTTCAACATATTCGGTCACCACAGCCGTTTTTACTCATCCTGATAAATGTGAACATTGCTCAATTCTGTTTACTTATCCGTAATCGTTGCGACACACTCCAGCTTGAATATGCGTCAGTTTTCTCATTGGTTTTGTAGGCAACTTCCCTTTAGATCTTTCTTGCGGTATTCAAATGGCGACTTGATGCATTACCTGATTTAACCCATGTTCCTAGGTAGCCTGTATAACGCAGACAGTGTGCTTGTTAACCTGCCCCACAATTCTGATATAGGCGAATTCAACTATGAGTTCGTCTGAACTTGATATCTTGTCCGACGTTGCACGCTTTGTCTTCACAACTTGAAATCGTCATCATATCAAGAATGAGCTTTATTAGCCTGATTAATATCCTTTCCCTATTCCATTATCAGCATGGTTGCTTTCCATCGATTGAGTCAGTCCGGTATATATTTGACAACCTGCGAATCCGCACTGCTCACTATCCTCTGTGGATCGGATCATCCTCAGTTCCGGGAAGTTCAGAAAATCATCGTGGATATCAGTCCGGATAGTGGCCTACTGGCTGGATCAGGTTCGATGAACCCGTTCTCTGGCCTAAAGACCTAAAACCTCTCTTGAACCGGTTCCTGTTTCTCCCTTTTGCAGTACGTCTGCTTCCCCATTCCGGTTCCGTGTGATCGATTCAGCCAGTTATTTTGCTTTAGTGGGCATTAGGAATTTCGGCGCTTAATTCTCAATCAATGCTTTTTCATCTGTACCTTTGTTATTGGGCTAACCGCCTCCCATCCATTTCATTGAAAGAATCATATCTCACGCTTGACCAATGCGGGGACTACATTTCGAATGTAACAGTGATTTTCCCTCATTGTGGTATCACGTTAGGCTGCTTGTATGATTACCAGTTGTATGATTACCAGTTGCTTAAATCAAAGGGTCGGCTCGCATAAAGCATTGCGAATTGAAGTTATTTGTTGCTTTTCGGCACACTTTTCGGCGCACAAATGCACTATTCTGATCCGCACCTCTGTTCCCCAACTACTCATCACACCGTAGGATCACACAACATGTAGTTTATTATGCACGTTGTACTGTTGAGCGGAATAAAATAGTGAATATACATTATTCCTATACAATCACTTCTTTTTGCTTTTCAGGAGCACTCATTAATTTTGGGCGATCGCATTTGATATTAACACAAGTTATTTTTCTGCATCTATACCACATCACCTATCGCAGATTTGCAGTGAACCCTTTCAAAAAGCAGTATTAGCGAACATAAGTTTTGATAGTTCTTTTTCAGGCTAATACAATTATACACCAACTCAATCAGACAGACTATTAAACTCGTTAAAAAAGGAGGTAGAACCAATGTTTAGAAGAAGTCAACCATCGCTATGGATCAGGTCAATGTCTGGGCCTTTATGCGATCCAAGTCGATTGGGCCAGGGTAGCCCTAAGGCCTTAATGAATCGCTTCTGAATGCAAAGATTCGGTTCTTGTAGGCGAATTGCGATGGCCCCAACGGCCTCTAGTATCCGTTTGCGCATATACCTTGATCGATTATCAGGGACATTGTAAACAATGTGGAATGTGATTGGTTGGTTTTGGGTTGTGTGCAGCTATGGAGGAGTTGCGTACTCTTCTGATTCCAGCCGTTAGCCTTGCGGGGCGGTGCTCTTTCATTCTGCCGGCTAGGCACCTAGTTGTACGACCAATCTATCCTGCTCTACAGGAACAGGTGAATGAATAGATACACATGGAACAATCTGTCTGATCGCTTTCATTGGTATATAATTGTACTAGCCTGAAGAAGTATTATCAACAACGTATGTTCGCTGACAATGCCTTTCGACTATCTAATGGGCTTTTTTAACACAACCCTTTCACTGGCCTCACTCATAGTCAACAAGACGCAGCTTTTCCAGGCGAAGTAAGATCTAACACAAGCACATTTCTAAGTGGATGGTTTTGTTTTACACATCGGTATCGTGTTTACATTCAACTGCCCGCTAAATCAGACAGGTGCACTGGATCGACCGAACCTCCCGCCGATCGATTATGCTTATCACCAGTATTTTCGTTAAAAATCCTTGTTATGCGGCCGCAACCAGTGATGCTACGCTTGTGGACATTGTCGTATCTTGAGCATTGTAATGCCCTACCGGTGGTCCGTGGTGCTGCAACGTATAGATCGAAGGACCCTCCTCACTACCTCGCTGTCGCGTTACCTGGGAAAGGGTGTAAATTTACTTAACCAATTGTTAGAATGGAGGCCCGACTGGCGAATCGACTACATTGATCTCACTTCGTTGCCGGACACCCTTCATTCCCACAGCTAATTACCATGCCCATTCCAGCCTCATCTGTCCGCATCACAATCATGGGCATTGCACAACTCTTTCGCGTCTATGTATAAGTCTTTTCAAGTTGCAATCCGGCACACGTTACAAATTTGGTCACCTCGAAATGTGGTTCTTCCACATCGTCGCACTGCATTGTACGTAGTGACATTGCGCGATCATTATTGGTATATTAGCCATCTTGATCGCAATTAAATATCGAGGGTTCTTCTTACGGCATTTGTCATACCGGCTTACCCTTTACGTTAAGCATTATCTGCACACACACATATATACATATAGGTGTGTACAATACTGATGGTTATATATGTGATTCAAAGACGTGTTGAAAACTGTGACTCTATCTATGGGGCAGATCCTTTCATGCGTGTTTACTCGATTGTTTTTGTTCATAACGTAATGTTCACCGTACCACAATTCTGCGACACAGAATCATTCACTCGCACCGAGGTTCATGTACTTTCCTGTCCAGCATACCTGTGTATCAGTATACCGTTTCTTAGTCCATGCTATCGTTTGGGAGGTGGTTCGTTGTTGGCGGGCTTCAGTTTGATGTAGCGACCCCGTTTTACGCGAACGTTTTATTTTTCTGACTCCGCGACGCGTCACCGACCCATTTCTGGGGCTATGCATCAACCGTTAGGGTCACACAAACGGATACGTGATAATGTATACAGAGGAAAGGCAAAGGAACGTTGTTGTGAATCTTTAGAGAATGCCACTGGAAAAGTCATAGCCAAATGAGATGGCTATAACGCCAACTTTTTGAGTCCTGTTTAATAATTCGCTCCCGGGGGAGGGAGAGATGCCTTTCGGAAACTTATGATCGATCACATGTGCCCAACTACTGACTAGAACCATGTGTATCAGAAGACATCTAGGTCATCTAGACAATGGGTGAAACAAAAATCCAGGGCCCAAGGAGACAGTCCCAGGGATGATCGTGTTAATTCGCTCGATCTTTTTTACTGTACTTCTCTCTATGCTTTGAATCTGTTGGACTCTTGTTCCTAGTTACTTTAATTACCCCTTCCTATTGTGTTATCGATATCATTAATTAATTAATCGATAATTAATTAATCGCTTAATTAATTAATCTATATCATTAATTTATCCCTTAGATTACGTTCTTGCTTTTATCGCAACACTTTTCCTTTCCTTTCTATGCCAAAGATCGATTGGGTACCCGTGTGCTTTTCTAGCCACCATGTGTCGATATTTTGTACATGACCATAATTTGCTGATGAGCGTGTCTCTAGCATTGCAAGGAACAAACGTTTATCTGTTTACCTACTTCCACCTCAGCATCAACTTTTCTGTTGCACGTCTGCGCAACCCATAACTCTTCACCTACAAGTGAAAGCTGATAGGAAAGCAGCTGAACCAATTTAACCTTACAACAACTCCGTAACACTGAATACTGTATTATAAAGCAAGTAGAAATGAATTCTGTACAACTCTTTCGAAATATGGTGAAAAACGTTAAAAAATTGTCAACCGTGAATATCGTTATCGTTCCAATGTAACACTTAAAATATCTGACTCACGGTATTGCAGGTCTCACAAATGTGACATGTCATCGTAAGCGTGCAATCGTTCTCTGCATGGAATAGTGGTAAAATATAAATCTAACAACTTTTTGAACTGTTGCACAGATGTTGCCCTCATCACATGTTCAGGCAGTGTTCCAAATATTTACCATTCTCCGTTCGAACCACAGTGAATGGGGAAAACGCTTAACATCCGGCACGACAAGGTTCTATCTGTGTCCGCCTGTGCTGCATGACTTTCGTAAGTGCAGCATTCGCCACAGCATGTGGAACTCACCGAGATGTAGAATACGGTAGGTCATAATGAGGTCGACTCGCACCCGACGGTAGGACAAAGTGTAGAGTCCTAGTTTCTCGCATCGGTCTTCATACCCCAAGCCACCTAAACTCGGGATGAGCCTGTTGGTGACGTGTTGGACCCGTTCGATATTTTGTGCCTCGCCTCGGGTAATCGGAAAGTAGGCGAACGAACTGTACTCTAGCGTTGGTCTAATGATGGAAGAGGCGAGTGGCAACCTCTTCAGACCATGTGCCGAAGCTACGTTTGGGCGCCCAAAGCGTGCGCAGTCCGTTACGATATAGCCTGTTCGTGTTGTCCACGGACTTCAACTCGTAACACGAGAGTACACCTAGGTCCTTCACGGAGCGTGTGAGATATAGCGGTTGACCGTCACTGGTGTAGGTCCGACCGTCAGCACCCTTCCCCAGGCTCATAAGTACAGACTTGGCTGGGTTAACCGGGAGATGAACCTCTGCAGACCATGTGGATAGGTGTTTAAGGTCTTGCTGAAGTAGGCCACAGTCGTCGGGAACGTCAATTTCTCTCCGAATCTCCATGTCGTCCGCAAACAATACACACGGCGACCGGAGAAGCTGAGGTAGATCCTTAATGTGGTTGAGGAACAGAGTGTATCCCATCACAGTGCCTTGAGGCACTGTTTGATCAGGTCCATCGATATCTAGATCTAGAGCTAGTAATGCCCTGGCACTTCACTCTGCCTTAACTCTCTCCTGTGTGTTTACTACCTTATATTACTCGGCTAACACAGTTGACGCTTCGGAGATTCATATGCAGTTACATTGGTCTGTTAATCCAAGCTTTCTCTTTTCTTTCGCATATGAGTAAAACTGCACTAAATACCACTTTGCACGGTTATGTGCTACTCGTATGATTTTGGTTGATGGTTCCGATTGTTTCATCCACTTTCACACTTCTGTCCCTTCTATGAACCCGCCGCTTCCCCGGTCTGCACCGGAAAAAGAATTGAGAATGCTCGTGTTGTGATAGGAAACGACACTGAATGCCCCAAATGATCTTCCCAACCGTGCATATTGCATCCCTGCATAACCTCCAACCATTGACGATCCTGCATGCGTGAGCATGTTGCACATGTAAATATGATCCGTCCCTTCATGAGCACGGTTTCTTGGCAACTCGAAAGCAATTATTATTATTGTGGTAGTAGTAGTAAACTATAGCAATGCCACAAATGAGGCCCATATATCTGACCCGCCGGTTCACTCGTGTTTACACTTACACATGGAGGTCATCGCGTCAGGCAAAACAAGCATCGTTTATTGCAATAGGAGAGACGGAAAGAAGTTGAAGCGCATGTTTTTCACGGATTTTTTGATAGAACAAACGTCTTTTGTCAAGACATCTGCGAGCACTGCTGTGTCACAGTTCCATTGTAAACAAGTCTATTCTTCAATTGCTTACTGGATGGATATTGACCATTCATCGACTCTTTGGCACCACTCCAGTCTTGAATACAGCTTATTCTCATGGACGGCTCAATAGTTCCTCGCCCTGTTCGATTCTGATTGGCCGTTTTCCTAATCACTAGCTATTCGTGTCACAGCTACCAATCATGCTCCTCCGACTTGCCACTGATTGCTTGAGTTAACGGAATGGGCAGAACACGAACATTGGACAGCCTATCGTCCATTGAGCCGCTCCTCTGGGTAATTTTCCATTGTGCCCAAAGCGATGCAGTCAGACGATGCGTCCGGCTTCAGATCGTCTCCTGTCCCCGTGGTTCCCGCTATGGACTCGACCGCTTGGCGCCTGCATTCCAAGAGTCGGGTGCATAATATTTTCAAACGTGCGTCTGTTTTCCCACTAAGGCAATCCATGACATCTATGGTATCCCCTGCTAAGCGCCAGCGCTTTGCTCGTCTTAGCATCAATGCACGAGAACGGCGACGTATGCACGACTTAAACGACGCACTGGATGACTTACGTTCTGTGATTCCTTACGCACACAGCCCATCCGTCAGAAAGCTATCGAAAATAGCAACTTTACTTTTGGCAAAGAATTACATTCTCATGCAAGCCGATGCAATTCAAGAGCTGCACAACATTCTACTGTGTTTAAATTCTCAATCTGTTCAGACAGAAGATCAGAGTGCGGTGGAGTTAGTACTGAAGACACAGGAATAATTGCAACCTCTCAAGTACGCGGTCGTGTTATCATTTAAGCCACCACTCACGGATTCACTTCCAATGTCTTCAAATTTACTACTCTATCCCATGGATCCGCGTCATTTCCTCAATCACTCAATCTGTGTGCATTTACTTTCTTCTTGACTGCAAGCGTCTCTCTGCCCGAGCCCTTGATTTATAGGATCGACACGAGCCTGGCGTTCCTCAGTTGCACCTCCTCAGGCGATAAACGCTTTGTTTCTGTGCCATTGCGAACCGTTTTGCAAACACTCCATTGTATTATCATTTTCCCCCTCCATCATGTGATCTAGTTCTCATCCGGTCTTATTTCTGAAATCTGCGTACTGTATCGCATGGATGTGATATGGTTCTATGCGATCGAAACTGTGACAATGGCAAGAATATAATACTTTATCCATCACCTGTTCTTATAAGTTGTTTTAAATGATACAGCTAGAGCTATGATCTTGCCCCACGACGTTGGCACCCAATAAAGTCGAGGTTTATTCTTCGTCAATTTGTAACCTTTTCATACCTTGTAATTCTGTCCCAGGGATGTTCGTTTGTACGCAGTTGTACCACTAATTCATACTCGGTCACTAAGCATATTTTTGCTCCGTTGGGCGACACTTCCTTATTTACGCGTGACATTTGCGCCGTGGTGTAATACGTTACCGCGTTCTCTTATCTTGTGACATTGGTTGGGTTGAATTATATATATATATATATATATATATATATATATATATATATATATATATATATATATATATATATATATATATATATATATAAGGAACAGATCCGTATGTACGGGAATGATCATGCTCTTGTATGGGTGCATGTTGACACCAGTTTTTAGCTTTTTGGATATTCTTGGATCATCCCAGAGTATTTCATTAGGTAAGCTGTCGGTTGAGAATCTGGATAATAACACTCCTAGATCTACGAATCCGTCGAGTTTTGTGTGGAATGAGGTAGGGTTTTCACGTGTCCTTATTGCGGTTCGTATTCTGTTTCACAAGACGGCGTATCTGATGCGGAAAATGGTTGTTCTAGCCCTTCGTATCAGTAGAGTACATTTTGTGTTGCGGAGTCTGCGATGTGTTGTATCTCTGTTAGGTAGGTAAGAGTACATTTTCTAGCGCGACATTGTGAAAGAGCATCGATTTTTGCTTTGGACTTCGCAATCAAAGAGGCTGGATGTGAAGGTGCTTGCAACGTTCGCGATACTAAACGTTTGATGAATGACCTCTGTACATTATCTATAGTTTCCCTGTCTAACTTCCACACTTTGCCACAGATGAAGTTCCATTATTCGAGTATAGGACAAATGATGGTTTTAACTGATCCCAGTTTGACATGGGCTGTATGAATTTTTGTGGGCTATGTTAGTCACTGATTGTCTAACTCGAGCTATTCGGTTTTCGGGTTCTTCAGAAAAGCGGAAGTAGAAAGAATACCGGCTTCCAATACCACGGGCAAACTGCCGTATGGACATACTTTTGTTGTTAAGTTTAATTAACTCATCGGGGATCGAGAAAACATATGACATAATGTTTGTCTTGTCGGTGGCGAATTTTATCAGCTACTTCTCTGCCCGTTGTTCAAGAGATTGCAGATCTTGAATTAAAAGTACTGTGCTCTGAATCGCATCACGCCGGAGTTTATAAACAATCATGATATCATTAGCAGGTAGAGAATCGGCCGTTTTTGATGGACATGCCAATATCGTTGATGTAGAGCAGAAGAAGCAAAGAGCCACGTACAGTTCCTTAGATGGCGCCGCTGGTGGTTTGGTCATCTAAAGTGACTATTTGAAATCGTTTGCTAAGGTAGGAGAAAAGCCAATTTAAGTGTGGGTCCCTTACTCCAAAGGATTCTACCTTTTTCAATGCCGTTTGTTAGGTACAGAGTCAAATACTTTTTCTTTTTCCAGAAATAAGATCACTGCATATACAGAATCTGTGGATTCTCAAATGTTATTAAGGTTGTGTGGCAGGTCGTGCAGGAACATCTGTCGAGGTAACCATGTTCAGATGTGTTAAACAGGTTCAGAGAATTAAGAAATTCCATCAACGTTTTCTTGACTAGTCTTTCAAACAGGATGGCGTTGATGGAAGTAGGCTGAATCGGTCGGTAATTGCTGACATTTTGATTGAGACCACTTTTGTGGCGTGGGATGATGAATGAACTTTTCAATCTATCAGGAAAATAGCTAGTTTTTAACGATAAAGTGGACATATTCAACCAAAGTAATGTTAAATCTGCCCCTTTTATTTAAATAACAGTCGAAGGGATGTCGTCGGATTCCAACCTTAAGGGAAGGTCTGATGGTTTCCATTAGCTACTGAATAGTGTTGAGAGAAATTTCGACACCGCATTGATTTTTGGTTATTGTAGATTGAGGGCATTAAGGTATGGGGTCATGAAGGCAAAAAAGAAAGCGCCAATCACCTCACAAATGATAAGTGGGTCATTAAAGGTTTTACTATGTTTATTCAAGAGTCTCGTGAACGGAGAATAGCTGTCACTAGTTCTATGACGAAGAATAGCAACTAGTTTCTTTGTATTGCCACCCTTTCGTTGACCACGTTCTTCCTCGTTTTTGAGTCTTATCCTTTGTGCATGTTTTCTCCTATTGGTCCATTCGTGTACTTGCAATGTCTCCGGTTCTGTGAAATCTTTCTAGCAATTCTCGCGTAGTGATCCAAATGACACTATTCCATATATGATAACCGTTGCCTAATGGTATCCACGGCATTGAAAGTGTCTGGCTGTATGCTACACTTACTACAAGACAGATTTCCGTGCGTTATTTTTAGTGATTTTACGGATTCCATTTTATACCAACTAACCTGTGTTGGGACTCATCTTTGATTACTTTTATTCTACTTGAAGGCATTTGGCCGACCCATGGCCTTAAGGATTACAAATCTGCGTTGTTATCTGGGGGCGCTAGTTCGGGCCTGCGTAGGGGACCGGACGCCCTTCGCAGTATCCTCAGCCCACACGCGACTGCTGGTGTTTGCGTGGCAGCGAGGCACCGGTACACAGTACCGGTTGGAGAAACGCAGGTTTGACCCGCACCAGCAGTTTGAGCTATGGCGCCCAAAGGGTTGCGATGTTTGAGATGAATAGGTATGTGAGAATGCATTAGGAACTCAACACAAACAGTGCCTGATTAATGGCAACTAAAATGACATCCATGAAGATCCATTTGACACCAGCATCTCTTCGGGCAACTAGGGTCCTCCTAAAACCCGATCCAAAGTCACCCTCAAGATATTTCATGCAGCGACGGTCTCCAAGTTTACGGAGACTGTTTCGTCGACGGCGTGGACGCGCTGCTTTGCGCTTGTTTGACTCGAACTGTAGTAGAATCCTCTTTGGCTGCTCGTAGACTCCATCCCAGTCTTACTGGAGCTAGTCGTAACCACCTTGGCCATTCGAGGAGTTAATACATATGTGGACGTTAATGAATGTCTGGAATAAGCGTGGCCCCATTACTAGCATCGGTGGAACACCGTATACAGCCTGCGTCGGGTCTGACGGTGACACTCCGGATCTCACTCAACATCCGTTGAGGAATGAAGTCGCCAGTCCACTTACAGACAACATACCCGATCCCAGAGCTTTTGGACTTGCAAAGAAGGACACTGTGATTCAACGATCAAAAAATATCTAGACAAATGACATCGATTCCAACCAAGCTAACTACACTTTCGTTCCAACTTTCTGGTAGGTTTGTAGCGCATGACAGGTATTGACAGAAATCGTGGTGCTTCGACGTTGTAATGTTACTACATATCTATATGGTCCATTATTGTTTCAGCGATGATGTGAAAGGACTCGAAAGTGCCGTCCGGGGTTTTCTACCTTTTCGATTCAAAGGAATGTGTCCGCTATATTGTTCGTTTACCCAGGTATTACAAACGCACGGGACTGACTGTCTGCTACCCATCATCGGGAGAACTATTCGGCGTAAACAGTTTCTCCCGCCTCAACTCATACTACATACTAACACACCAGCATTTTTACCAGCCTATACAACACTGTGAATTTCCTCCTCAGTGAACGAAAACTGATTACTCCACACTAACCTAGTGTATATTGCAAAGTATATTTTCTCCCCTTGTCATTTCTGTCAGGCAGAGCAACCCCACCACAATCGTGCAGCCTTTGTTTTACCTGTCGCATCGTTTGTTTATGCTGTGGTCTACGTTTGGCAGATAGACAACTCGATATGTGAGGCGAAACTACGGGAGGGGGGTCATCTCCATCGCGGTCGATCTCAATTAGCTCACTGCATTGGATCGAGCACAGTGGGCAGGCAGGCACTAATAGACTTCCTGACTGGGTGGTGGGAACGGCGTGCCGCATGTCTACGCAAGCAAATTATCAAACCACTTCATCGACGTCTTAGTGAGAGATGTGGACTGACGCGGTGGGAAATGCAATTTATCAATGTTATTACGGATAATCTTGATAACCTTTTGAGCGGCGCATCTAGTCAAGTTTATGGTGTGCACTCGGTGATAAGTGGACGGACTAATCCCTACTCGTCAGACAGTCTTTTGTCCGGAACACGCCTCGCCACGTCTGTCAGTTTTATCGTTGCGCACACGTGTCCTCATGGGGTTAATCGCGCACTTGAGTCTCCCATTTGATGACTAGCACATAATTAATCGGCTTTCGCCGTCGATTGTCCTAGGTTGATGCAAAGCCATTGATGAGGCTCATCATTTGGCCTAACATTGTCCAATCTTTTTTCGGCGGTTTATATGAATCTTTTTGAAATACCTGGGTATTCCCCATCGGTCGCCGCAAATCAATACTTTTTGCTGATATTTCTATGCCATGCGGCTACAATAACCTTAGTAGTGAGGACTAAAAAGAGCATAAGGAGACACAATATCCTACAAACAAACGTTCGGGATCAATGTACATGCCGACACCGCGTTAATGCCAGCGGTTAGCTATCATATGAAGACGAGACAGTGAGACCATATAATTGCTACTTCCATCGTACTGCTTCGAACTCATCCTTAGTATCTCTCAATTCTTAATAAATGACAATCATCTGAGCCTCAGTTATAACAACAAAGTATGGTTGATGGGTTAGCAATGGGGGTCATATTTCTAACTGTCCTGTAACGCCCTCCGAGAATCATAAATATAATGACTAGATTGCGATCAGAATCTATTTGTATCAGAAGGCAACGTATTTTTTATAGGGTAACCAATGCACTGTTCCGATTTGCTTATCCTTGATTGGCTGCGTCTGGCAGAAACCCACCATGTTCATCGATCGACCCAGTTGGTCATGTGAGCTTACCAAGCGAGTCTCGCTCACGCATGCAGGCATTGCTGCTGGACCAGCGGCAGACAATCAGTCGCGCGACT